TTAATAATACTATTATTGAAAAAATCGATTCTCATACTTTATATCAGTAAAAACAAAATCTTAAAATTATGATGAATATTTTTAAATATGAGTAATGGACAGATGGACAGGCTGGCATTTTTTATGAATGTTTTTTTCAGCTGAATCATTGCAGTATACATTCACGAACTGTAAGTTACTTTTTTCTAGAATGTCTTTATCTAACATTTACTCTTCACTTTGGTAAAAAATTTCATAATTAATTTAACTCGAACGAATGAACTTCAGTTATTGAGATTCTAGATTTCTGGTACTTCGATCATCCTGACTGCTGTTGGTCCTAAACCAAATAAAGTTAATCTTTAAATTTTTTAAATGTTTTAAATTCTTCCATTGATTTAAAAGATATCAGAAGATAATATAGAACACTACATACCTTGAATTAATTTCATTGGTTTTTCTTTCTAAAAGAAACTTGGAATGACTGTGTAAGGAAATAAAAATTAATTTCATTATTTTATTTTACCGAAAAAAGTGCACTGTACTTTATTGTTTCAAGAAAATGAAAAATACTTTAACTTTTAGCGGCATAATTATTTTTGAAAATAGAATACAACAGACGAAAATAAAGTTCTTTCACTTGCAGTCTAGTAAATACTTAGTTGGCCAACAGGAAATATAGATAATCCAATTACACATAATTTTTCAGTATTCGGATTAGCTAATAGTTCCAGTTAGTCCACGTATGTGGAATAATATCATACCTATTTGATTAGAAATGAATGAATGAAGAATACAGTAATTCTCTGCGAAACGATAAAGTGCATAAAAATGTAAACTAATGTAAAGAGTTTCTAAATAATGTTTACACTCTTCAAACGGTAATAACAAGAATACTAACACCAAGAAGTATAACTATTTTTGGTATCAGATACCTTAATTTTAAATGTTCAGAATGGCTTGCAGAGACATAAGATTTTTTTGGAAGCAGGAGACTTGAAAAATGAGCAATGCCCCTCGCCGGGAATCAAACCACGGACCTCTCAAATACGCGCCGAGCGTGAGGACCACTACACCATGAAGGCACATGAAGAAGGCGAGGGGAATATCTTACATACTCCTCCTTTTAAGGGCGAGTTTTTAAGGGACCAATCGCCAAATCCTGGGTGTGGAAAATCATCATCCACCACCCTTTTAGTTCGGGCGTAACTGTAGAGACATTGGGTTATTTTTGAAGAAGGAGAAATGAAAAATGATCAATGCCCTCGCCGGGAATCGAGCCACGGACCTCTTGAATACGCGCCGAGCGTGCAGACCACTACACTATGAAGGCGCGCTAAGAAGGCGGGAGAAATACCTTACACGCTAAATTTGGCAGCAATATATCGTCTTCAACGCTCCACAACAGACTGACAAATAGCGGATATTACGTCAATAGAAAGGAAAGCGCAGGTAGTCTCATTCGCGTATCTTATGTTACCCAGCGTCAGTGGTTTGGTTCTCAGGTGTGCGTGTTAAGTCTGCAACATCATGCCCAAACTTTTTTCATTGATTTATTTTGTTGCTGGATCATCCTTTCTTTAAATCACAGACAGTTTCTTCACTCCCATTAATAACTGTTACATGTGATTTGGACAAAATATCAACTTCTCTCCTCCACCGTTTTTATACTTCTCTCACATTCGATAACATTTTAAAACTAACATATGTTGCTTGAAAAGAAATATACCCACTTCTTCTACTTAGTGTACACAGATGCTTACCTTCTGACGAGCTATGAAAGAATTAAAGAACGCTTGCAAGCACTCACACACATTCAGTCCATACATTGCATCTTCGACTATACAAACTGTCTTCAAATACAAAATGTCATCTTCAATAATTTATCTTTTATTAACTTTTAAAAAGTGTAAATACTTTTTGGGAATACTCTGTTCGCTGAACAAAATAAAAAGATCCACCGAAAAATTTCTTGATTCCAAATAACATTGTAAGTAATTGTAGGATTTTTATACCCAAATTATTGGCCAAATTAACGCATGCTTAATTGTGATTATTTTATTGCAGAGTGTTCTATGAGTAAAAATCTTTAAGCCTTCCTCCAGAACAGCAATTTTGAGAAAAGATGACTATGAAGATTCATTTGCAAAAACCTGTATAAGAAGATGTTCGTAATGAGAGACGATATGGAAAGAGGTTAATTCGGAAACGCCCATGTAGAACAAAATCGTCACTCTTATTTTTCTACTTTTAACTCCGTAAAAATGACTAAATTATATTTCAAGGGGAAAATGATTCAATATTCTTAGAAAACTTGCATGAAAATTTTAAACCTACTGTCTTGTTATGATATAAAGTTTCATTCAGAGACTGAGAATTATTTTCAATACCGTACATTCCTATTATTTCTTTTATTTATTCCTTTGTCTAAATATGGGTGTGTGTTGTAATATTAGCAATTTAAACATTTGTTTCACAATTTTGTTTTAACTCTCGAGTAAAGCATCTACTTTTTTTCGGGGGGGGGATTGAGGGACAGTATGATTAAAAAGTTTATTTATACATATCTTTCCATAACACTGTTTTATGGGTTACTGGATAATATTTATGGATATGCAGACTTGATCATATTATCCTGTACTTAAGACACAATAACACGCCGAACAAATACTAATTCAGAAGTCAAACAACAAAAAACAATCATCCTGTGTTAAACTAGCACATCTCTTAATAATTTTCCTTATTTCAAATACACTACTTTGTGACATTATAACACGGTTTACTGACTGTTTTTTATGTATAGGCAACTATAGAATTGTTTACACACGTTATCACCTGTCTAAATAATATATTACATTACTATAATTTGTTAAATTAAATAAGGAGCATTTAATGTTAATTTCAATATAAAAAAGTACTTTTCAGGAGAGAAAATTTGCACTTTGTACTGATCATTCTATGTAACACCTGGTTAGAAATTTATCTTGGTTTGTTCTGCGTGTACACTTTTAATTAGTTCGTATTCTGAAAAATTCAGATGTAATTTACATTAATAAGAGTAGTATTTTCATTAAAAATAAGTGATAAATATGATTAATTGTTATTTTACATTGTTGTCTACAGAGAACTAAATATAAAATTATAATAAAGAAACTACAAAGAAATAAATATATAGTAATAATTTCGTAACTTCGTAATAGGCTATTGTTTTTACAGAGGCTATTAAAGTAAATTGCCTTACTTTATTGCCTTTATTTTATTATGATTACTTTTATATTATCGTGAGAAGGAAAACCATAATTTTTATCTCCTTGACAAAAGAGATGATACTAGAAATTCAGCACATTACTTCTAATATATACATATAAATTACTTTTAAATCGAAGTTGTACGATATTCGAGGTCAAGAGTCGCAATTATATTTGTATATCTCTCTCTCTCTCTCTCTCACACACACATACACACAAAATGTAAAGAAATTAATCAACTGAATTTAAGACTCGTCTAGTAGTGAATACCCGTACGAAATTCGATGGAGGAATTAAAAAAAATATATTAAGGTATTTTCCATTGCTAATGAGTAAGTAAAATCTGATACTTTGTGGAATGCAAAATATATAATTTCGCTTTTATTTTATTTATATTAAATTTGATTTACTTACCTATTTTTTGCGAAAATAATAAAAGGTAAACACATTTTCTTATTTTAAATCTTAACGAAATGTTAGGGCACTAGAAAAGCCTATCACGTTTCAAATGGTGGCATATTATACCTACATAAAATTCTTAAAATTTTATTGTAATGATGGACTTCTATACCACTGAAAATTTCTTTCAAATTATTAAATCAAAATGATACGTAATTTCTAACCTTTAATTTATATTTATTTTTCTATACGCAATTTCTAACCTTCAATTTATATTTACTTTTCTAACAAATGGCTTCTAGGAAGTACCTCTAATTTTCCCCCGATATTAAAGCGGTTTCTATTCTACCATAGACTGTTTCACTTATTTTTTAGATTGTAAAAGTACACTGTTTATTAATGGTGTAAACAGAAGAATTATAAAGCAGTCTACGTTTCTTAATAATATTTTGCGCATGAAGTGAAAACATTTTACAGCAAAGGTGCAGTTAGAGAATTTCTCTCTAATTCTCATACCTATATACAACTGCATCAACTATGAAACTTAACGATGAATAAAGTTTTATAGTAATATATCTGTAATTAGCCAAATACTCTCCTTTACTCATCTCTCTCATTTTTTATTTTATTTAAAGACAGAAGTTATCTCTTAATTTTTCTCGCTAAATTTTCGACTCGTTCATTTAAATTCAAAAGAGAAATACAAAAACGAACATTAGAGATTTTCAAAATGAAATATTTCTTAGGCTACATTTACCCTGGTGACATCTGACAATAGTACTGATTTGTTAACATAACATTTAGAATGGTGTTAATAGTCAAGACTTTTACATATTTTTCTCCTTTTTTATCGAAAAGAGAGCAGACAAGTACACTTCTGAGATTTCCTGTCAGTTTATATTTCAAGTAGGAAGTTTGTTTATTTAGTTCCCACTTTCAAATACATGCACGTAGGAACGAATAGATATTGCTCATAATAATAATAATAATAATAACAATAATACACTAAACCGATTTCTTATAATTAATGCAAGTTGTCTAAGAACGAGTATATATTTCTCACTTCACAAACGTTCTATTTGAAATCGCTAATTTTATGCGGAAAGGATAAGATTTTATAACACTCTCCAAATGTTATATTGGAATTTGACAGTTAAGGATTGCCATCTATTTATTTATTTATTTAACAAGTCGTAATTAATTCTATCACTTCGAATTCATATGAAGATCGACTAGCAGTTATTCAATATGGTATATTTATTTGGATGCTACATTATTTATGCCTCATAATTGAATGTGCAATAGTTTTAATAAAAAAAAGACCTTTAAAGCTATAAACTGCACATCACAATACAGTAAACTGCTAATACTTACCTAAAATGCAACAAATGCTCCTATAATATTTTGATATACCGCACAATGATGCTCAAAATGCGCACGTCAGAAATTCCCGCCACGAAATGACAGCGTTTTGCGTCGGAAACATTTCGCCGGCAAACGGCAGTGACGTCACGAAACTAGCCTCGACGAAGGTCATCGCGTGGAAGTTCGTATACTATTGAGGTCACTCTGAACAATAAAAAGGGAGAAATAAAGTTTCGTTAACAAAAGAAGTGAAATAGTAAGTTACGCATCACTAATAAACGAGAACGAAGGAACACGTCATATTCTTGAAATTCAGACTAAGACAGAGTGAGTGTGGGGAGAGGGATATTTATTTATTCGATGTCTATTGTTTGTTTTCCTTAAAATTTCACGGATATTATTTATTTGCAAGTATTTCCGACACATACGAATAATTTGCAGTTACTAAAATTTCAGAACGTGAGTGCCGAATTTGGTGATTACTAATTTTTTTCTCGTGCTTTCCTCGCAATTTAATGGTATTTTTATCGTACAGGATGCAGTTTATCCTACGCGATTGAGAATAATCGGATTAGAGTAACTAAAATGAAAGTGAATTTCAAATTTGGAATAAAATTACTGACAGCAAAAAAGAAGATAAATGTTCGATACAATGACCTTCACTAGAAATCGCAAGTCATATGTATCATAGTATATCACTGAGTGATGGCATAGTCTACGCAAAGCAGTTTTCATTGCAGAGATAATTAGCAAAGCAAAAATGTTACAGGTCATCATATCAAGGTCTTTTTTATGTTTCCGGATTAGATTTTATGGTCAGATTTACAGTGAGAAGAAATTTGACTTGCACATCTTCCAGTCTTTCGTTCACAAAAAGGAACGAATTAATGATTAATCTAATAATGATTTAATTAATACCAAAGCACAACTCAGAATGAATAATTAGTAAACTTAATTATTTGTTTTTATGATTTAATTTCAGCTAATTGAGTTATTTATTTTAATGAAAGAGAATTAGTGAACTTAATTGTTTGTCATTTAATTTAATTCCACTTAATTTTAACAGGAATTAGTGAACCTTAATGACCTTATGTTTATTATTTACTTCCATTTAATTTAGTTCGAATTCATTAAAATCAACAGCAATTAATAAATTTAACTGTTTTTGTTAGGGTCTAATTCCACCGTATTCAACTCCATTTCTTCTAATTCATCTCCAAAAATTAGAAAATATCACTTTGTTAATGTTCTGCTTTAAGTCTAGCGTACAATTACGATTGTACGCTAGATTTAAAGCACTTTTAAAGACATTTAAAGACTTTTATTATTAAGTGAAACAGTTTGTAAGAAATTAAAGGCTCCTTACAGTATAATATTCAGCTCATTTACGCAGAAACTGGTAAGCCTCGGGTATGATTGCTAGCAACACTAGGTTGACATTTCATTACATTTATCTCACAAATAATCTAATGACTCGACAGTGACTTCCCAACTATAATATGACGGATGGCAAATCTTCCCGATTTGGCCACCTGAGTCTCGCCTCATTCACATACAGTCGCCCTCTGTGTACGGGGGCAGGATGCCATTATTATGGTACTCGCCCGTTTATGCTAGTCGCTTTCTATTCAAGACAGAAAACTTCATAATCTCTATTGAAGACAGAAAGCTTCATAATCTCTATTCAAGACAGAAAGCTTCATAAGGATGCTTCGGCTTAGAAGTGCTCATACCGTTAAGAAAATCAGTTTTTAATTCGTAAAAAGCATTCTTCATGTAAAGCTGCCAACATAAAGGTGCAAGCAGAATTTTCATTTTTTGTTAAAATCTACATTTATATAACGGTCCACCTTTATAAAAGAACTGCTTTGTTGAAGTTAACCGATACTCATTAAGACTTGAGCATTTTTATGGTGAGGCACCGTTATGAAAGATTTTATCTTTTTTAATAGTTGCCAACTTGCATAAAGGTGCCGGAACTTTTATGATGATTTATGATAGTTATTTATGAAGTATAAATTTGTCTCTTTCTCCCTGGCTAGTGATCAACGCATCCAGATGACAATCGGAAAGCGTCTGGTATGATTTCCGGAGGAAGTATGAATAATTAAGGTTTCCCTTCTCGGAAAACCTAATGGCTCTCAATTTAAAGTCTGGTATTTAAGATTACAAATTAAAACATGAAACGTGACAGAAAAAATTTTTTAATTGGATGATGATGAACAGAAATGGATTTTTTAAACAGCGGGAAATATTTTAAATACATACTCATAATCAGTAATAATTTTAAATCGAAGATTGCAAATATCAACTGATCAAAACGTCACTCACATCAAGCTTTCAATAACTGTGGAGATTCCAAAATGGATATTAATAGAAAATTGTTTCAAAGAATGACATCCCTATACTGTACAAATAATAAACCATTTAAAATTTAAGTTGTAACTTATGCTATTATCTCTAAACAAATCTTTTATTTGGTGCAAGATAGAGATGGAGTTTTTCCAAGCAAAGCGAATTTTTTTGATTGAGCAATACTTGGCAATGTATTCTTACATCGTTGCTTTCATTTAGGAGGAAGGTCTTTCAAAGTTTTGAAACCTTTAAAGAGGCTTCACTAAACGCTCTTTAATCTAATAAGACAATGATTTTCCGCGATGCGACCGCTTGTCTCATCTGGCTTCGGACAAAATGAGGAATAAAGTGTTGCAGTCACCAATAAAGAGTGTGAGAAAGCCGGTATTAAACAGACCTTCTTAATGCTGGAGAACCTAACAAGACAACGATTTTTCACTTTGTAAACCGATTTCGAGAAACTCGAAGCGTTTATCATAAGAAAGGATGTGACTGGCCTTCTCATCTGAGTTCCGACAAAATGGGTGAAGTCAGGAATAAAATGTTGCTGTCACTAATGAAAAGTATAAGAAGAAGCATTCAGATGTCGTAATTAAATTTATCACATGGGAGTGCACACAAGACTCTGGGAAAGTTGAATCTCCACTCTTATCGTGCTCCTATTCTTCAAGAAGTAACAACGTCTGATAGTTGAAGTGGTTGCGCTATTGTCAGTGGCTCAGATTGTTTATAAACCCCAAATGAGTAGAAAACTTGATCCTGTGCATTTTGAGGAGGAAGCTCGGTTTCATTTAAGCGGGTAATGTTAGCAGCCAAAACACACGAAAACGAAGCACATAAAATCCGCATGAATATCACAACAGACTTTTACATTTAGCCAAAACTGGTGTCTGGTGCTCTGCATCTACGCCAAAATATGGAACTATGTACACCAATATCATCCAATAGTTTACTGTATAATTTGAAGAATACGAGCGCTTTTGCTGTTTTCAGCAGAATTGAAAATATTACCATATGTCTAATAAAATAGTGCCATTTACACAGACGTTATAGCTGATTAACTACTCATTTCAAAAGGACCGTGGCCCTCATGGTCTCCTGATTTGTTACCTTCACAGTGTTTTCTACGGCTCTCAACCGCCGGTCCGCGAAGTTACTAGTTATTTTTGTCTTCCTAATTAATTTATGTGAAAAACATTGTGCCAGTGGGTCGAATTATTAAACTTACCGATCCGCGAGAACGTACCGAAATATTTTACCGGTCCTTGGAGTAAATCTAGTTGAGAAACACTGTTCTATGGGATCTCCTAAAAGCACACATTATGTTTATGCTTTTAAATTATGTTTATCTGAGCAATTCACACTCAATTGACGAACTCAATGAAAACACTGAAAATGAAATTTAAAAAATAGGCATTAGTGGACTGAGGAAAATGGCCGCGAATTCGTGCATGTATTCGAGGAAAAGCCTCACATTTTGAACTTTTACTGTGGCGATATTCAGAATGTTTCCCTTTTTGCTTCTCTAAATAATCCTTCTTCCAGCTTAGTCCATGGTTGTAGTTTGATTCATTTTAGTATTTTTTTAATAAAATATTTTTGCGCAATTTCTTGACGACACTATAGTTTCTATTTAGAGATATTATATCCTTGAATAGGCAACGTTTTCAACTTTGACAAGATGCAATTTATGTGCTTCCTAATACAATGAATACATACTTGCAAGTGTCAATAAGACTACGTAAAATAAGAAATGTAAAAATTTATCTTTATCACAATAATTTGCTTTTTGCCATTCACATTGAAAACTAGTAATGCCATTCGTCAGTTTCTATCCCTACAGAATAAAGAAGCTAGTTAACGGTTTCGAAATTCTGTTATGTTTTTATCTCGATTATTCTGCACATCAAAACTTTTTTCATAGGTTAATTTATCTTAAAGTTATTTTATTTTATAGTTACATGATTTAAAAAAATGCAACAAAAGTATTATTATTATATTTTTTGGAAAATACTTCACATGTTAAATGAATATTTAAGATATTTTATATATTTATATTAAATTAATTTTTCAGTGCAAACATTCATTGCGTATTCCTCATTTCATTACACTGACGAGCAGAGAATATTGAAAAAGAATCTGAATAATTTCAGACATTATTTGGAGGATTTTTACCATTGAATTTCACAAATAACGTATCTGCTAATAATCACCTTTAAAACAAAATATCATTCAGAAGGCCATGTGAAAATGTTTCGTGTTTTGTTTTTTCTGAGATAATAATTCTGGTGTCTCGAGAAAAATTACAAGTGCAGAGATACTGTATATAAAAAAATTGCGTCAAAGGTGTTAGTTCTGACCCCTGAACAGAAATATTCCGATGGCCTGAGGGCATATTTTGACACGTCGTGATAACCAAAGATTTCATCGGTGTGATTAATGGGATCTGGATGGCATACATTCCAGGCAAAAGCATTTTTTGAGGCATTCAATAATTATAATTTTAATTTATCTATGAACTAGCTCAGCTAAAAAATTATTATTTTGAATATTTTATTGTATTTCATGCATTCAAAATTTAATGAATATAAAAAGAATGAGGCTTTAAGATAAAATGATTTAGCATTTTTTGATTGATAGAATGGATAAAAATTTTTCAGTGGGTACACTGAGAAGGGAAAGGAAAGTGCTAAAAAATTAATAAAACAGAGCGAAAGCTGTTTAAGAGAGTTTCGCCAAAATGTAACAAAAATCGTCTCGATTTTTAACCCAGGAAATTTTTAACCTTTTTAAATTTGCA